TTTTTAGTCATGTAAGTAACTTATTCCATAGATTTCATTCTAAGCCTCTCTTATTTGTTTCTATAAAAATGTTTTAATACTTGGTACTTTCTTTTCACCTATCTTATTACAGATGGATACGGACCTAAACCATACAATAAGCTAATGTTCTTCTCACTTTTCTTATTGTTTATCTTATTTTTTATCAGTCAGTTTAGCTCCAAAGTGTCATTGAAATTGTAGAGTCGTTTGCTTCGACAAAATAACATTTATGTTGTTTTCCGTAGTAAACGTGATCTTAATCCTCTTAACATTGAGAAAGAGGTACCACATCACACTATTTTTAGTGTATTGTTATTAATTATTTTTAACTTATCTACATTCTTAAAGGAAAGAGAAAAGCTTGTGATGGCGAATGCTAGCTCAAAAGGAAAAGAAAAGGCAACCTGTTCTGGTAAAAGAAATGAAAATACAGTAGTCCAAGTGGTATGATTAATCAATTGTTACACAATCATATCATTGTCGTAATTGTTAAGAAATTATTTAGCATTCACGAAAATACCTATATATTTTTTATCCTTTTTATTTAGGAAACCAATGATAATGTTATATCAAAACGTCAATTGGCACAACGGACACAAAAGGAACGGGAGAGATTGAAACGCCCACCCATTCAAGCTAGAAAGAATATAGACGTTGTGATTCACGATGATTGTGACGTTAATCGCCTTGGCATAGTTGAGATAGTACCATGTCTTATTTTTTTCGTGTATTGTCAATAATTTTTTAATGAATGTAATTTTTTGTTTATCCGTTTGATATTTTGAAGGGGAGAATAAAATCTAACTCGGTGGCGAATGTGAGCTGATTACACCCAAAGAATAATGCGGTAATTGTAGCACAACTTTGGGATGTCGATTCTACAGAAAGACAAACTAAAAGAATAGTAGAAAGAACAAACTAAAAGAATAGTAAAAAAAACAAAGAAACTAAAGAAAAATATTAAATGATTACTAGAGAATAAATATTAATTTTAAATGCAAATGAAAGTGAAGCAAAGTGACTAACAGAAAAATATTTAAATTTGACAAACAGTAAAACGTCAAGAATCCTTTGCACAAATTTGATATTTTAATTATTTTTAATTCATTGAATAACTCAATTGAGAATTTAATTTCTAAAATTTCCCATCAGCAGATATAGATTTATAAACCAAGATTAAACCAAATGTAACTCTTTGAAAAAATATTCACCACTTTTACAATACGTAAATTATTTTTACTATTGAAAAAATTCAACGACGATAATATACTTAAAAAATAATATTACAGTAAAAAATTAAATCAATATAGATAAATAATTGATCCAAACATAATCAAAGAGCTAATCCATTCAATAGAAAAAGTATGACTGAATTCATAAACAAAATACAACAATAAATTAAGAATGATAAAATAAAAGAGTTTTACTAATTAGAAATCAAATGCATAAATTAAAAATAAATAAAATATCATCTATTATGCATATTCATCCATCACCTTACTTGAGAATTTAGTTACCCATAAATACAATGGATAACAAAAGTCTCCCAAAAAAAAAGGAAAAAATGGAGAGCCTGGGAATTTTTCCTGACCCTGATCCCTGTTTTTCTTCCAGCCGCCACACACCAAAAGAAAAGAAAAGCACAGCCGTCCAACATCAAAAGGGAAAAAGAAGTTGGTAAAACCTAAAAGTCAATCTCCTTTTCAAAAAATATCTTTTTCTCTCTTTTTCATTTCCGCCTTTCTTAATTTTAACTTTTTTACTTTGGTCCCTAAAATCCTAAATCTTGTGTAATACGAGAAAGATAAAATCTAATAAAAATTATGAGTGTTAGGCCCACTTGATAGTTGCATCAATTTTATCATTTTTACTCTATGGATTGTCATCAAAATAAAAAAAAATATAAAAGTCGAATAATAAAGTCCCAAAAATGTTAAGTGTAAAGTCAAATTGTAAATTATCTCTCACCAATCCATAATACAATATTTGAGATTTAAAATATTATAAAATCATGCTCAAATATCTCTCAGTGTGAATAAATATTAATTTTTTTTTATCAAAAAAGAAATATTAAATTCAATAATATAAATTATATCTAATTATTTTTATTCACATTTTAACCCAATAAAATGATATTTAGAATGCACTTAGTGCACTCATCATGAGCTCTAAAAGAAAAGAAAAAATAAGTTGTTCTTACAAAAGAAAGGAAAATATAGAGTGTCAAAGGGTATGATTGATCGATTGCCTATGCATTAATGTACTTCTATCAAATATTCAACTAATTAACATAATTAATGTTTAACTTTACAATATAATTCAATCTTTGTATGATTGGTCTGAAATTGTTAGAGAGATGAAAATAATAAATACAACTCAGCTTCTACGATGGGGATATGCTAATGAGGTAACATAAATCTTATATTGTTGCAATGAAGTATACAATTTTTTTAAGTAATATATTTGACTAATATTCTTTTTCTCTTTTTCTAAAAAATTAGGTGGTTGTGTAATCACCTAACTTGCGGTTTTGCATTCGTGTTGATAGATAGACGTTCAGGATAGTGATGCAGAATAAATACAATCACAAATGAATCGTGTAATTATAGATTGAGTTCAGTGTATTAGATTGTTCTCATACTATGATTTTCTTCAGTGCACTTTGGTTTATTGTTTTTTGTTTCAATTTTGTTGTCAGTGAAAATGTGGGATTGAGAGTTTTGAGGTAGTAGAGAGAAAGGAGAGGTGAGGGGGATTGATTTTAATTACTTTAATTACTTTATATGCAATAGTGCTTCAATAGTTTGCTGGGTACACTTTCAATGGTTGGAACTTATTGGAATTCAAGTTACCAAAGCTCAACTAATGTTATTTTTGAGCAATTTTTTNAATTACTTTATATGCAATAGTGCTTCAATAGTTTGCTGGGTACACTTTCAATGGTTGGAACTTATTGGAATTCAAGTTACCAAAGCTCAACTAATGTTATTTTTGAGCAATTTTTTAGATAGCCTCTTGAATGCTTTAACGTTTCGTAATTTCTTTTATATCTATTTCTATGGTGTGCATTTGTAATTGAAAATTAATAGTTATATGTCAGATCAAATTGATTGAGAATGAGGATTTACACTTTAACCATATAGAGAGAGTGGTTATTTGATATCAAAAAGCGTTCGTTTATTTGATATGCATCTTAATTAATTTTTTTTTACTATAATGGGCAAATTAATAATATACAATGAGTAATAGCTTTTTAAAGTACGATGATAAAACATGTATATTGTGTATATGTTTAAATTTTTTGAGTTATGTTTTCAGAGGTAATTTTGTACATTTTTTATATATTCATCAGCTCTATATATTTATTGTTATCATTATGTGCACCGTTTTTTTTCTCTTCCTAACCTATATATGGATATATATAGATAATAGAAAGAAATTTTTTTAATGTTAGTCAAACTCCTAAAATTTAAGAATTTTTAATTTTTAGTTTTATTTTATTTTTAAAAGTAAGAGATAGTCTGGAAAAATTAATAAAATACGGACTTCATAATAAATAAATTTTTTTGATGGACTTAAGTCCAAATAAGTCCATCAAAAGGACTGATCTCTAAATTTCTCTTGAAATTATTGTAAGGGACCGATCTGCATCGTTACCACATTATTGGCCCAATAGTTACAAAGTAGATTATTGTGGATGTGGGGTCGGNGTAAAATTAACAAAATACGGACTTCATAATAAATAAATTTTTTTGGTGGACTTAAGTCCAAATAAGTCTATCAAAAGGACTGATCTCTAAATTTCTCTTGAAATTATTGTAAGGGACCGATCTGCATCGTTACCACATTATTGGCCCAATAGTTACAAAGTAGATTATTGTGGATGTGGGGTCGGGAAGTATGGTGGTATGCTACCAGCAAAGTATAATGTCAAATAACCGACACATTTCGTCAGTATAATGCCAAATAATTGACACATTTCGTCAATAAAATGCCAAATAATTGGTACCTACCCTACCACGACCACAAACCACATAACGTTCATCTTCCACATGGATTCCCTTTCTATCTAACGTGCTCCATTCATAATGTAGCATAGCAATCATTCACAGAGAGGATTATGTTCTCGAAAAAAAAATTCAGTATCATACCGCTAAGTTTTGTAAGTTTTGCGAGGTGATATACATCTCACCTGATAGTAGNCGCATGGATTCCCTTTCTATCTAACGTGCTCCATTCATAATGTAGCATAGCAATCATTCAAAGAGAGGATTATGTTATCGAAAAAAAATTTCAGTATCATACCGCTAAGTTTTGTAAGTTTTGCGAGGTGATATACATCTCACCTGATAGTAGAGTTCCTCCGATATACCTCCCAAATTTTACATTATGTTGACATTGTAGACACATAATTAATTTACAAGTACTCCAATATACCAAAGGACTATAGTTAATGCCTTTAATGTTGACCCATGAATCGAGTGATCATACTCATTTCATGTGACTCAGGATGTAATGGTTGGTGGTTATTTTTTCATGCATGAGGAGAAATATCATAGAGAGANTTGAGTGATCATACTCATTTCATGTGACTCATGAATGGATGTAATGGTTGGTGGTTATTTTTTCATGCATGAGGAGAAATATCATAGAGAGAGAAATATAGGTTGTTTGAATTTGAACCAATACAACTCTTGGAATAGTTGTGATTGTATCAACTGTCAGTTTTGTAAACTCAATTTTTTAATGGGTAATTTTTGTATTTTATTTTTAGATTTACGATGTAATAATGAAAAGTTGAAGTGTTAGATAGTATTTAAGCTTATCTTTTGAGAATTTTGAGAGGCCGTAGAAAAGTCCAGAAATCTTTGGGAGGTCTGATTCATGCCACGTGGAAAGCCGACCAGACAATAGTTGATTTGATGTATGGTGGCGACTGGCCATGGAATGGTCAAATTGAAGGACTTTTGGCTAGAAAACAAAGGCGGAAAAAGGAGTAATAATTGCTGCAAAACAGAGTGGTTTGTGCATAAAAACAGAGGAAAAATGGGAGAGAAAAATTGTGTTTTGTAGAGAAGAAAAACCAGCAGTGTGTCCCTGAGCAGAAGCTCCGTTTGTACGTTCTTTCTATAGCTTATTGTGTGTTTCTCTTGCTGGAAAAACAGGATAGTCTTCTCCTTTATATTGCTTGAAATTGTGATAATTCTTGATGAAATATAGAGGTGTTTTTTAAGTGAAATTTGGGTGATAGTGTAGAAGATTATTTGTCTCTGTTTTACTTGATTTTGTGTCCCTTAGTGATCTAATTTACTTTCAATTTCCAACACCAACAGTTTCAACCTTTCTAAAGTGTTGAATGAGTGTCTTGCATGTCTATAAATATTAGTACAACCTCATTGTTTCGTTTTATTTGTGACGGTTAATCTTTAAAATTTCAAAGTTCAATTATCTGTGTTGTATTGAAAATTACCACCCTTACTAAGTGGAACCCTAATTTCAACAGCAATAAATATTTAATATAGCAGTGATACCTAGTCATCAATGCTTTCGTAGTAATTTCAAATGGATAAATTGAACCCCTATATGAGGTTGCAATTATTACATTACATTAATAGATAGTTATCAAATTTTGTAGGATCTGCTTACTCATTAGTTAGATTTTTATTGAATGTTGATATGACAGGTGATATCACGGTCGCAGCGAATATTTTCTCGTCCAACACACAGCAGCATACTTCACACGGCCTCATTCAAGCACGCATCTTCTTCTGATCATTAACCAGAACGAGATTAGAAGTTTAGATCATTCATAACATCTTCTACAATAGTATATATATAGAGAGGGAGACAACCTCGTTAACTACAATTACTCACACTAAATTTACTTTCAAATTCCCCTGCTTCCCAGTGAGATCCATTCAGAAGACCCAAAGCTCTCAATCAGACATATTCATGGATGTCATACCAGAAGATCTCAAACGTATTCGAATTGGCAAACCAGATGGACAACGTATGATTGCTAAGGGAGAGGAAGAAGAAGAACCACTGAGTCCTATGGCTCGTGTGTTTCATGAACCTGGTTGTAACATCTATATCATTACTAAAATTGGCTTGAAAACCCAAATACTTGATATTCAGGCTTTCAAAGCCAATCTGGGGCTTACTCTGGCGAAACACCCTCGTTTCTCTAGTTTGCAGGTATGAACAACAAGATACCTACATACACATTTGACATAAAAACTCCATATAGGTACAATCATCGCAGATTAAACTATAAGGCATGAGGTTAGCCCCATGATGTAACCAAGCTGAGTTATTGTTATGTTTTGTGTTTTATTTCCTATTTGAGTACTTCTTTCTTCAATTTGAATCTCTTGACTATTGACAGTACTACAATCATTACAGGTTGCAAGCAAAGAAAGAGGAGGAGAGATTATATGGGTTCAAACAGAGGTGGACATGGATAACCACCTTATAGTCCCCCACATTGATTACCCTGATGAAAAGTTTGTCGAGGATTACATCTGCAACCTGAGTAAATCTACCATTGACAAGTCGAAACCTATGTGGGACTTCCACATCCTCAATGTCAAAACATCCGACGCCGAGGCTATAGGTGTCCTCCGCGTCCATCACTCCCTCGGTGACGGTGCATCTCTTATGTCTCTTTTTCTTGCTTGCACTCGTAAAACATCTGATCCTGAAGCTTTACCAAGTAGTACGACTGTGACAAAAAAATCAAATTTGTCAAAAGCTTGGGGGTTTGGTTTTGTTGTGATGACGATGATGATGGTATGGAACACAATCGTTGGTTTGATGATGTTTGTACTCACTGCATTGTTTTTCAAGGACACGAAAACCCCTCTGAAAGGTTCGCCAGGTGTTGAGAACAATCCTCGACGCATTATTCATCGAACAGTTAGTCTGGATGATGTGAAGTTTGTGAAAAGAGCCATGAATATTGTGAGTTTTGTTTACGCATTCAGCATAAATGCATCGTAATGACTAAAATAAATCAGTGATAGAATTTATACAAATTCTTATTCATAAGTTTTATGAAAAATAATGTATACAATAATTTCATGTGATGAAAAACGAAATACTTGGTTATGAGTTTGCAGACAGTAAACGATGTAGTTCTTGGAGTAACACAAGCTGGCATAACAAAGTATCTCAACAGGAGATATGGTGAGTTTTCATTTCAAAGATTACCAAACTTACCCGTGTTTAGACCAAAATCTGATCCGCTCTGAAGAAAGCATGTTGAAGTAGCACGCATACGATTGAGTGGGTCATTCTAACACTGATATATTCTCCAATATGACAGGTGATGGTAAACAAAACCAGGGGGCAACCGTGAAGAAAAATAACCTTCCGGAGAACATTCGTCTTAGAGCAATATTTTACATGAATTTAAGACCTTCTGCGGGGATTTATGTAAGTGATTATTTCTTGTTAATTTCCACTTGTTCGTTTAGGCCAGGCTAGCGAAGGGGTATATATAACGGATCCAAATCCAGATCCTCTCTAATAGACATTTCATCATTGGTAGATAACTCAATATGTATTGAAAAAAATTCAGGAAAAAAGGGTTAGAGGAGCTCACTCCATGTATTACAGATAGGTACATATCTAGCGTTAAAATATATAGTAGGTAAGTTGTATACCATCCAGTGTAATAATATGATGGTACCAACCCATGGTACTGATTGGGGTTTGATTCTCGTATACTCGATTGTAATTTTTTTAGTGAAGTTGTATATCATCCTTATCCTATTCTTTTCTCACGTGTTTGGTATTCAGGATCTAGTCAATATGATGGAGAAGGGTACAAAGGCCAGATGGGGTAACGAGATCGGTTATGTCCTCCTCCCCTTAACCATTGCATTCCGAGAGGATCCACTGGAGTATGTAAGGGAAGCTAGTGCAATTATGAGTCAAAAGAAGACTTCGCTTGAAGTTATTTATAGCCGCTGGATTGTTGATTTAGTCCTCAAGTGCTTTGGCGTTAAGGTAAATATATCATCATACGGGACGGCCTGACGTAAACAAAGACCTAAGACAACTTTAAATGAGATTTTATTAACATTTAGCCCCTTAGTGGGTGCCCTGGGCGCCCCGTGTGATGCACGGAATTTATAACTTGTTTTGCTCCGGCATGTTCCTTCCCACCCTTCCAAACTCACTCTTTTCCTGTCACGCAACATGGGTAGTTCAAGTATTATTAAAGTAAAGTGGGAGGAAAAACTTCTCAAGTCATTTTTCCTAAAAATGATTGTTATTTATATTTAGATAAATTATATACTGTGGTTGACTTCAATCATCTCACTGCAGCAACAAATTTTTTGTTTTAAAAATTACCCTAGTAATCCTAAAAAACGAAGTAAATGAGCTGAATTATGAATAACCAACCTGCTGGACTGAAAATCTAAGTTGAGGATAGAGTAACCAAAACAAAATATGAAAAAAAGAGTTTACTTGAGTATGTTTATTTCAGCCCCTGTACTCCTCTATTCTTATTCCGTCATAAAAAAATGTTTTTTGCCTAACTTTTATTTATTTAAAATTTGAAATTTCACTTATTGTATTAATGTCACATTATTTAGTCTCTATCATCGATCTCTTTTTTAGTCAATGCAGCATTACCTGAGTATAAATGGTTTAGATTGAATGAACTACTTTTAAATAGCTGGAACACTGTTTTTGGTTCAAGAATTAGTAACATAAATGAGTTTTTAGGGATTATTGAGTAGTTAAAAACTCACTTTCAACCTTGATGAGCAGGCTGCAGGCAAGCTTTCCCACAAAGTTTTTTATAACACAACACTGTGGTTTTCAAACGTACCTGGACCCCAAGAAGAAGTTGCTTTTTTCGGCCATCCGGTTTCCTATATTGCTCCGACTTGTTTTGGGCAGCCCAACGTATGTTCTCATTCTTTGTGGCACCAAATTTGTTTTTGCAACACACACACACACACACACACACATATTTATATCCGCCATGAATTAAGAGGCAAGGCACATAGATATATGGATCTTAGTGTCACCGAAAGTTATCAAGTGATCTACACAAAATGCATAAATGAAAAAGAAAGTTAGACATGACTAGAGGTCCAAGTCATAGCATGGATCACTAAACAATATCATGGTGTCACGGAATGATGACTAGGATGACTTGGTTGAGTCAGCCAAGATGTCTGCAAGTCGACCATGTGTTGAGTTGTATCAGTCTCGGTATATAGGTAAATTTATATGAGTTTGTTTTGTATTAACCCCTGCTAATTAACCTGTATTTTAGGCATTGATGATTCATGTGGTTAGTTATGTGGACAAATTGACGTTCATTCTATCAGCCGATGAAGAAACTATTCCAGACCCACATCAGTTGGGTGATGATCTTGAAGATTCACTCAAGCTCATCATGGCTGCCGTCCATAGCAAAACAAACCCACAAAGTGTGGATACAAGAGGATGAGCACCGCCCTGGCCGTAACCCTGGCACACTCTTTTATTAAGAATAATATTATTTGAATATAATTTATCCTTTGATTGATAGCGGGTTTCAACTAAAATTGGGGTTTATTATCGATCAAATGCTGCTAATTAATTAGATTAATAAATTAGGTTCAAATTGTATTTCTGATATAATATGTGTGATATATGTCATGTATGCATGTGTACTTAAGAAGGTTTGGGTTGTATACTAGTTGTATTTGCATGGGTGTGAATAAAGAAAGTTGAGTTGTATGTAGTGTATGATCCAACATTTTCCTTTTCACATTCATCACTACCCCACAAGTCATTCTTTGACTCTAGCCCGGGTTAGGAGAGAGCACAGGCGTTACTTTGAAGGAGTTAAGACAATCTTTCATAATGAAAATCGACTCTATTCTCCTTTACAAAAAAAGAGTCAATCATTCACAAAATAGAGATAGGAGATCTTTACCTTCTAACATTGAACATGACACTTGAAATAGCTTTGTTGCACCGCTCTCTGCAAAAGCCTAGAGAAAGTTGAGAGAAAGCTGAAATAACCAAAACAAAGAAGTAAGGCCACATTGGTCGACCTACCCTTAACCCTTTGCCCCCAAGGAAGTAGCCCTTCAGTTCCTCATGTTTAGGGCACTTTTTTTTTTTTTTTTTTTTTTTTTGATAATGAAGAGGTATTCGGTTTTTTTTTTTTTTGGGTAATGGACAATATATATTTCATATATGATAACCTAACATTTAGGAACAAGTTCTCACTCAAATTTAAGAGCATCCAATTCTGACTCAAATTTAAATTTGAGTCAAAATGACCTAAAAAATTTTCCAATCTTAGGCCCAAATGTATACTAAATTAAAGAAAAACTAATTTTAAACCAAAATTGAGGGAGACTCAAATTCCATATCAAATTTTCAACAATAATTATTTATCCTATATTAAACTAAAAGTCTCCTTCGACGGAACAAGTTCTTACCTCTCCTACCTCCTTGCCTCTATTCTTCGACGATAACTTTTTACTCTCTCTATCTCTCGCTCCCTCCCTCTTTTTACCTTTTTTTTTTCTCTCAAACTCTCATTCTCAATAAAACTCTCTCTCGTATCTCATACTTAGTAAAAAGTTCACGAATCTATCACTCAAAGTGGTTGGTGTTCTTATCTTTTCTTTTGGTTAATATTAGTGAAGTTTGTAAGAAATAAGTTTTAATATTTTATAAAATATTTTGATGGGAAAAATTAAAAAAAAATGACCTTTGGGACAATAAGGAAATTTTTAAATGATTTGAGTAGATATTTAAGTTTATCAATTAGAATGATTTATATTAAATTAAATTTTTTATTTAAAATTAGATTCAAATTTAAATTTAAATTTAAATCATAATTGGAGATGTTGTAACAACCAAGTGTAGTTTTTGTGAAGTTTTTCTGATTTGAACTAGAGCGTTCATTTTGACTTTCTTTGCCATTGTGGGTAGTGAGCATCTTGCGAAGTTGGATTTTCTAGAAGATAAATATTTGGGATGGTCCAGACTAGGGTGGGGAGAGCATAAAATCTAGCCCATAGACCATATTCGCCTGGCCCAGACCTATCATTTGGAATTTTGTATTATACTTCTTGATTTTTCAAACTCTAATACGAGGTTGTTAGAGGATGATCTAATGAGAACCAATCTCACTGTTGGATTTTAAGGTCGAGTTCGTTTCTCGTTGTCTCATTTCAGGTGATTGGCGCATGACCAAAGTCGTTAATGATTTTTTGACAGACGCTTAAGACGCATAACCAAAATCGTTAATGATTTTTTGACAGACGCTTAAGATTGGACTACGTACATACAAATTCAAAACTTAGGAACCAAATAAGTATAATTGAAAGATTAAGGACTAAATAGACACTTTACATATACCTTGAGAACTAAAAATGTATTTTACCCAAAAGGAGAATAAAGAAAAACCCTCTTGAACAATGCTTAAGCATTATTCTAAAGACTCTAAACCAGAACAAAGTGTGACAAACGCAAGGGAAAATAATCCCATTGGTCCCATCTATCCAAAACTTAATTATACCCTTAAGGAAAGGATTCCTTTGTCTATTAGGAAACCTAGTTAGAAACAAATTGGGGAATAATTACTGCCTATTTATAATTAGCATCGATTTACTTTTCCCTAGATCACCCATTACTTAATTGTTTCAGAGGACATTCGAAGTGTGTTTAATCAACCAGTTCATTCTTGTTTTCTTAATTTACCTTGGGGATGTCAGACAATCTCGCATACATATTTGTTGTCTCCCGGGATTTCGGAATCGTGCTGGTGGATCGCCGTCAAAGGTGTGATAGTTTCTATGTTCAATTATAGATTTCTGGTATGGTTAGATGATCTTTCTTATTAAAACGCAACGATTTTCTAGTAAAAGAAAAGATGGGTGAAATTTTTTTAACCAATATATCCATTGTTTACCCATACTTACCCTTAGACTTNATCTTGCGAAGTTGGATTTTCTAGAAGATAAATATTTGGGATGGTCCAGACTAGGGTGGGGAGAGCATAAAATCTAGCCCATAGACCATATTCGCCTGGCCCAGACCTATCATTTGGAATTTTGTATTATACTTCTTGATTTTTCAAACTCTAATACGAGGTTGTTAGAGGATGATCTAATGAGAACCAATCTCACTGTTGGATTTTAAGGTCGAGTTCGATTCTCGTTGTCTCATTTCAGGTGATTGGCGCATGACCAAAGTCGTTAATGATTTTTTGACAGACGCTTAAGACGCATGACCAAAATCGTTAATGATTTTTTGACAGACGCTTAAGATTGGACTACGTACATACAAATTCAAAACTTAGGAACCAAATAGGTATAATTGAAAGATTAAGGACTAAATAGACACTTTACATATACCTTGAGAACTAAAAATGTATTTTACCCAAAAGGAGAATAAAGAAAAACCCTCTTGAACAATGCTTAAGCATTATTCTAAAGACTCTAAACCAGAACAAAGTGTGACAAACGCAAGGGAAAATAATCCCATTGGTCCCATCTATCCAAAACTTAATTATACCCTTAAGGAAAGGATTCCTTTGTCTATTAGGAAACCTAGTTAGAAACAAATTGGGGAATAATTACTGCCTATTTATAATTAGCATCGATTTACTTTTCCCTAGATCACCCATTACTTAATTGTTTCAGAGGACATTCGAAGTGTGTTTAATCAACCAGTTCATTCTTGTTTTCTTAATTTACCTTGGGGATGTCAGACAATCTCGCATACATATTTGTTGTCTCCCGGGATTTCGGAATCGTGCTGGTGGATCGCCGTCAAAGGTGTGATAGTTTCTATGTTCAATTATAGATTTCTGGTATGGTTAGATGATCTTTCTTATTAAAACGCAACGATTTTCTAGTAAAAGAAAAGATGGGTGAAATTTTTTTAACCAATATATCCATTGTTTACCCATACTTACCCTTAGACTTCATTGAGGAAATCATAGATAACGCTTTCGATTTGGGGCTTTCAATGGTAGGCAATTCTCAGAATACGGGAAGAAACATACTCTCAATGATCGTGAAAATTAGAGTATTTTTTATCGTACGCTCGAGTGACAGTGCCGACGAGGAGGAAGTTGCTTCTATCAGGCCAGCAACGAAATCATCTATTGAAGTCTTGGAGAAGGTGACACTCAAACTTGATGATTTTTGTTCAGAAAGAGAGTGTGCAATTTGTTGGGAGACGTTTTGTGCGGGGTTGGAGGTCATTCGCATGCCATGCTCGCATATGTTTCATGGCAATTGCATTGCCCGATGGTTGGAGAAGAGTAGCATGTGTCCCCTATGCCGCTTACCCATGCCTGTTCACTCAATTTCCAGTTCAAAAAAATAAAAAAAAACAACTGCTATTTGTTTTTGTTAGTCAAGTGTGTTAAAGACCAATAACCCGTTTAACATGCATGTTTTCTGTAGTTTTTTTAATTTCATGATTTAATGTTGTATGAGTTTTTTTTTTTTTTTTATTATTATTGAATGATGTTTGGTTTGATTGTTTGGTTTTGTCTCAAGCCAATTTGTAGTTTATGAAAGACTCATAACAAGTGAATTTGGTTGAAAGAGAAAAGGATATAAGTGTTATGGTTTCTGGTTCGCAGTTTACACGAATACAATATAAATAAAAAATGAAACACTCCAAAATGCTATAGGGAATTTAGTATTTTTTTTTTTTTTGCTGATCTATGTTTTTATTGTTTGTTGTCACACCACTGGTGTTGAACAATCTCTTAACTGTTTAATGTAGTGGAGTTGTTTTATTTACTTGTCAAGCGCTTTAGTTTATTTTTCGATAGTTTAATCTTGTATAAATTTCATTATTTTTTAAAAAAATGACTTTTCGCACTTCGTACTTTGAAAAATTTCAAGATTCTCATTTTATGTCCTCAAAGATTAAATTTTTCATATTACATCTTTAATGTATCAAAAGTATTACAATGTGGTTTTTCTATTAATTTATTTTATTTTTTCGTCAAAAGTTAACCCATTGACAAAAATGAAAAATCTAACGGAAAGCTAACAGAAGAGTGACATTATAACATTTTTGATACGTTGAGAGTGTAATATAAAAAATTAATCTTTGATAGTGTAAAATAAAATTTTTAAAATCTTTTAAGGTACAAAGTATAATTCGCTCAAAAAAAGAAAGAGGGCACCGGTTTTACCCCGAAAAATATTTTTCTAGGAAAAGATCNTTTATTAATTTATTTTATTTTTTTGTCAAAAGTTAACCCATTGACAAAAATGAAAAATCTAACGGAAAGCTAACAGAAGAGTGACATTATAACATTTTTGGTACATTGAGAGTGTAATATAAAAAATTTAATCTTTGATAGTGCAAAATAAAATTTTTAAAATCTTTTAAGGTACAAAGTATAATTCGCTCAAAAAAAGAAAGAGGGCACCGGTTTTACCCCGAAAAATATTTTTCTAGGAAAAGATCACAAAACTTTTGTTTGCAATTGAATTCCTAATTTCCCTTTTCCCTAGGATTTACATTAATTAACCACAAATTTTAAGTCAATTGTATCTAAATGTGTGTTTTTACCTTGGAAATCGAATTTTTTTGGTAAATATTTTCAAGAACCACTGGAACAAAAAAAAAAACCAAATTTCCAAGTGGAAGCATTTAACCAATGGATATTTCAACTCACTTTTGTAGCAGAAACTGACGATAATTTACATTGTCATTACTCAAGGAGCAATGCTACATGAATTTAAA